AACAACCAATGGCAATGTCTCTGCCAGTTCTAAGCTGTCCATCGGTCTGGACTATGACACGTCCACGTAAGTCGTTAAGAACCAAGGTTTGGTGAGTTTCAGCCAACCCAAGCTCCCATGGTAGACCGGCATATTTGATACCAGTCCATCGGGAAGCACCTGTACCTCCATCATGGCCGGCAATGAGGATGTGGTCCGCCTTGGCCTTTGCAACACCAGATGCAACAATACCCACACCAACTTCTGAGACGAGCTTGACAGAAACACGCGCACGAGGATTGGAGCACTTGAGGTCATATATAAGTTGCTTTAGGTCCTCAATGGAGTATATATCATGATGAGGTGGAGGAGATATTAGACCAACTCCGGGGGTAGAGTGTCGGGTATGCGCAATGGGTCCTGTTACTTTATGGCCAGGCAGTTCACCTCCTTCACCAGGTTTGGCTCCTTGAGCCATCTTGATCTGCAATTCATCTGCATCAGCTAGGTAGCTTGAAGTGACTCCAAATCGCCCAGAGGCAATCTGTTTGATAGCCGATCTCATTGTGTCCCCATTTTCTCCGACTTTGCTGCGACTGGCATCTTCACCGCCTTCGCCAGTATTGGATTTACCGCCTAGCCTATTCATAGCAATAGCAAGGGTAGAGTGGGATTCGAAAGATATTGAACCATAAGACATGGCGCCAGTAACAAAACGGCGGACGATATCAGTCCATGGCTCGACTTGATCAACCGGAATGGGAGTTCGTTGCTCAAAATCAAACTCCAACATCCCGCGCAGCGTGCAGTTCTTGATCTGCTCAAATTCCGCCTTAGCATAAGCTTCGTAAGATTTGTCATTCTTATTGCGGACGGCATCTTGCATGTTGGCAATGCTGACTGGATCGTTGATGTGTGGCTCTCCTCCATCTCGCCAGTGATATTCTCCTGACTCAGAAAGACCGGGTATTTCAGTGATTTGTCGCGAAGGGTATCCCTTTTCGTGGAATGCAAAGGCGTCCTGAGCAATTGTCTCGAATGTCATTCCCCGAATTCTGCTTGCTGTTCCGACGAAGCATCTGTCAATGACGCTGTCATCGATACCAAGGGCTTCAAAAATCTGAGCTCCTTTATAACTCTGCAAGGTGGAAATACCCATCTTGCTCATGACCTTCAAAATACCGCCATCAACTGAATGTTTGTAGTTATTGACGATTTGGTCATCAGTGAGTTTCTTCCGGATGAGGCCTTCGCGGTTCATCTTGAGCATGCACTCAATAGCAAGGTATGGACATATACCATCGGCGCCATAGCCAACGAGAACGCACATGTGATGGACTTCACGAGCTTCGCCAGTCTCAACTATGAGGGCTGCCAATGAACGCCATTTATTGCGAACAAGGTGGTGGTGGACTAACCCGGTAGCCAGGAGAGCTGAAACTGGAACCCGGTCAGCAGAGGCCTCTCTATCAGACAAAATTAATACCCGATCACCGTCCTCGATGCCTGCACTAGCCGCTTCACATATGTTCTCGAGGGCATCAAGATACCCCTGGACTCCCTTTGACTTGTCAAAGGTGATATCAATGATTCTTACGGGCCAGTCTTTATGCAAGAAGGTGATATTTTTGATGGTATCGAATTCAGTGAGAGAGAGGATAGGGGATGGGAGATGAAGACGATGACACTGTTTTTCGTTAATTTCGAGCAGGTTTCCCTGAGGGCCAACGTAGCACTCCAGGGACATAACGATGGCCTCACGGATAGGGTCAATAGGCGGATTGGTGACTTGAGCAAACAGTTGGCGGAAGTACTCATAAATGAGCCGTGGTTGCTGTGCAATGCAGGCAAGGGGAGCATCGTTGCCCATCGAACCAAGAGCTTCCTTGGAATCAGCGGCCATTGGGCCCAAGAGCAAACTCACTTGCTCGAAAGTATACCCAAACGCCTTTAGACGCGGGTCTTGCTGGACAGTTAATTCATCTAGCTTTGGTGTGACTTTGATAACCTTGTCATCGACGTATTTCTGGTGAATTTTTGGCAGGCTAAGAAGTTGTGTCTCGATCCATTTGGCGAAGGGTTGGCGGCTGGCAACAGTTTGCTTTAGCTCTGTATCATCGATGATTCTTCCTGCAACGGTATCGACAAGGAGCATCTTGCCAGGCTGCAGACGACCCTTTTCTATGACACGCTCCTGATCGATGACAAGAGCACCGACTTCAGAGGCGCAAATTATTCTGTCGTCGTCTGTGATATAGTATCTGCATGGTCTAAGACCGTTGCGGTCCAAATTGGCACCACAGTATCGACCGTCAGAGAATGTGAAGAGAGCTGGGCCATCCCAAGGTTCCATCTGGCATGCTGCCCATTCGTAAAAGGCAGCCTTCTCCGCGTCCATAGAAGGATTATCCTGCCAGGCTTCAGGGACCATCAACATGACTGCTTCAGGAAGAGACAAGACACCGTTAATTGTCAACAACTCTAGTACGTTATCAAAAGCCGCGGAGTCTGAGCCACCTTCCTCCACAATGGGGTACAGCAGATCGAGCTCCTCTCCAAAGATCTCTGATTTGAGTACCCCTTCTCTCGCTCTCATCCAGTTCTTATTCCCACGGAGGGTGTTTATTTCACCATTGTGGGCTGCCCATCTGAGAGGCTGTGCACGGTCCCACGAAGGGAAAGTATTTGTTGAGAAACGAGAGTGGACCAAGGCAAAGTGGCCTTCATAGTCCACTGAGACGAGGTCGTGATAGTACTCATAAACTTGAACTGGAGCCAATTGGCCCTTATAAACGATATTCTTATTACTCAGGGAGCAAAGATAAAACCAGCTGGCAAGGCCAAGGACATGAGTTGCTCGTTTTCTCAGCACATACAGCTGCCTCTCAAAGAGCCTCTCATCAAAGAGTTCAGAGTGGTTTTCAAGAGGAACATTGCCATCCCCATATGCAGAGTGAAGGACAACAATAGGCTGATAAATGAATGGCTCACGGGACAAGGCAGCTGGCCCTAATATCGTTGAATCGTGGGGCACTTCTCTCCACCCAAGCACTCGCAGGTTCAATTCTCTGGCGAGATCCTCAAAGGTGGACTGCGAGTCCCTAAGGGCGACAGGATCAGGCTTGAAGAAGAGATTTCCCACAGCATATTGTCCCAATGGTGGCAGAACAACATCAATATCCCTGGCAAAGTGCTTCGTGAAGAATTTGTGCGGGATACTCGTCATGACACCGGCACCATCGCCGTCTCGAGCGTCGGAGCCGACAGCACCTCGATGGGTCATGTTGCATAGTAATCCTCGTGCTATGGAGGATTTCAGTCAGCATTACCGCCCAGACAGACCTGTGTGATATTGGGCTGCAAGGCGGAACATACCATCACTGACTATCTTATGGCTTGCCTTTCCCTTGATGTGGCTAGAAACGCGGTCAGTGAGCGCCATTGTTCTTCCGCGTTCGGTCCTGGCAAACTTACGCAGTGAAGCCTACACCACAGGCATCTTTCTCCAGCTCTGGGTCATAGAGACCCTGCTTCTTAGGCAGGGCCTCTGCCCAGCCATAGCCGCCTTCAGCCTTGTATAGAGAGTATTCGTTGTGAGTATTGTCTTCCACAGCTGTGTCCTGGGTTTTCTCCAAGAGGCCCATTCTTCCTGCCTGCGTGGTGGCAGAGATAGAACGCGCCGCCTAACCTTGTTATAATAACAATCTGAACTAACAGTGGCTAGAAATAATGGCGTTTTTGATGAAATTGAGGATTAAAGAAGATAAAGATGGAAGATAAGTGTGAAGATGATGTGATGGTAGAAGGATGTGAAGTGAAAGAGGGGAAGATGAGAGTGAATGGTGTGAAAGGGAAAAGAAAGAAGTTAATGAATAACAAGCACACCAGCACAGGGCATCCTCGGAAGTTGGCCATCGTTGTTCTATGGTTGGGCCGGCTGGTTCCATAGCTCGCCTCGAGCGTCAAACCGAGCGTGGGGGAGAGAAGACCTGCAAAAACCTACAGCATCTACGCATTTTCGTGACAAACAGTGCTGCTCGGGAGGGTGACATCCTCGGGACGTCTGCTACAGTGAGGTGAGCCCACTCAGGGTTGCGTCTTGACGAGCAGCGCGGGAGATCCTTCACAGCGCTCCTTTTTCAAGCACAAAACAGTGACGGAGCGATGGACGATAACAGCGGGTCTCGGTACTAATCGGAGCCTTCTCATTGGTCAATGTCGCTTATCTGCAGACTTAACCTTAAAAAAAGCATCGACCAAGCTGGATCTTGCTGGCTTTTTTTCATTTCTTTTCAAGATGAAGACGAAGAGGAGGCAAAAGGACAGCAAGGAGACAAGCAGCAAGGAAGAATATGCGTGCCGTTGGCAAGACGGCTAGCATTGTAGTCTCAGACGCGAAGAAAGAGGCAGCTGCTCTCCTCGATAGAAGCTGCTTTACGGTTCGTCCGCTAGTTATCTCAACCTGGTCAAAAGCATGTGCTTCCACTTTATCTCCCCCGCCCCCCACCAGGCATTAGTTAAGTATGTTTACTTTGCGTTGGCTGAACCACAAAGGGAGGATGCTAATTGGTCAGCCTATTTTCCTTGAAGGCCCGACATCGGCAGCTCGAGAGCCGCACTTTATTTTTGTCTTGTTGGTTTCTGCCGGCGCCTTATTTTTGACCCCGAAAAGCACTTCCTTTGCTGAGTTGCTCATGAATGTTTGGGAAAGGGACATCGACAGAGTAAACCACCAGCCGGACAGGGATTTTACGTAAACCGATTCTGGTTCTTGGAGAGGATGTACATCGGTACTATGGGCCCCTCAATGCTGTGTATATGACCGTGCGGGTGAAGGCCTCCCGGCTGGAGCACGCATCGTATCAGGCCGAGTGCCGGCTTCACGTTCGTATCTCCTTCGATAACTCGTTAATGCCGAATCCTCGGCACAAAAGAAAAACAAAACGCCCATCTTTTTCCAGCCGTAAGCTCCGGAACAGCCCGCTCTCTCCCCAAAAGCAACGAAGTAATGTGGGAAGAGCATTGGAGAATAGGAGAGAGGATCGGGTCCTTTCGGAAGAAAAGAGTCACGTGGTGCAGGTTGCATGGTGCATTCAGCAGTTCGCTACCCCCTACACCTTCCTGTCATTGTGTAGCAAAAGACGATATAGGGAGCAAAGAAGCTGCCCCGTAACTAATATGACTCTCTGCATATGATGTCAGATATGCGAGGACAGGTGGCGACGGACAGATGCCGCTCAACGCCATTCATATTCATACATATATACCATCCTGCAGGGAGTGAACTCCGTGGATACGAAATTATTTGTCAATCATACATACAGGAGAGCCGGATAGCAACGCTCAACAAGGCTCCGGTGCGGATACAGGATAGGGGTCCTCGCGTGACGCCTTTTCAACTTCTTGGGCTGCTTTCGGTTTGTGACTTGGGTGGCATCCTTCCACGAAGGGGGCTTCCACGCCTAGGCCTGGTGGTGGGAAGAGGTATGACAGAACAGTCATCCAGGTGAACCCCATAGCCAGACCAACGAAGAATGTGATATTGAACAATTTCATCCAGCCTTGCATGGCTGGAGATTTGTCTTTGTTGACTGATACGACCAGTCCAGCTGGAAAAGAAAAAAGAAAAAGAAAAAGAAAAGCCGTTAATAAAACTACAATAGTAACCGGCAAAGCAAAGATCTCTCAAGAGGGGCATCTACTTACGTATTTGAGACCATATACTGGCGGTAAAGGCGACAGCCCCACGCCAATTGAACCCGTGCCAGTACCAGTATATGGATGATGAGTCCCCTTTATATAGGTCGCAGAGCTTGAGTGTCTGGCGCCGGATGACGAGATAGTCTGATAGCATGATACCACTGGTAGGCCGTTAGGTCTCTCTTTGGATGTCAACTGAGGCTGGATCCGTATCTTACATCAAAGGGGCCATGAATATTCCAAATCCAGATAAAACTGACAGAAATTTATCTGCACTGGCAAGAAGTTGCCATGGCCTTGCTTTTTGATCAGCCGGTCTATCCATCGGCATCGTGCAAATAACTATACCACTCACTGAGATGCAACGCCAAGAACGACCATAATATAACTTCCTCTTCTAATGTTTATATATTTTGGTTGCAGACCGGCTAGATCCGTCCCTGCCGAGACAGAGTTCAGTACAAGCGATATCTATAATCCAGGTCAGCAAGTTCCCGACTGTTGGGGCCATTGAGGTTGAACCCTACCGCGAGCTGAGTCGAGACAGTGCCTATGGAGGCAAAGAATACACCAGCTCTGGAACGTGGACTTGAAGTATAGTGTTCCTGTATAGCGGCAAGAAGTTGAATGGGACTCCAAATGATCTCTCCAAGAATATCATTCGCGGCACTAGTTACGATTATTCCAATCATAGCTGTAATCGTGATTGTTATAGGCGCAGCTATAAGCTGGGATAACGTTGGTGCCAGTGGTCGATTCGCATAACGGGTCCAGTCGGATTGGCTTAGGGTGCTAGCACCCCATGCACCAAGGATTGCAGTTATCCCAAACATGACACCCCATCCTACAGAGTCTGTTGTTGCTGGCTGATGAAACATTGATCCAGGACCTCCAGCATTTCTCACTGCCCTGTAAAATGTTAGCAACGGGCCAGGTCTAGGAGAAGAACGATATCAGCTAGCACATACCAAGCCAAGATGCCGATACATGTTGAACTGAATAGGACGAACGAAATACCAAACGGTATTTGGAGTCTTTCAGGAGAAATAAGCAATAAAGGCAGGAATATAAGATACCACAAGACCATGCCAATAAAGTCATTGGTGAGCAGGTGTGAGCCTTCGGAGAATGAGTTCTTCATATGCGCAAAACCGGGGATAACTGCTCCCACGAGCACCCTGGTTGCCTGGCCTCCCCTATATTATCAATATTAGCCTTGGGGGCTGTCTAATACTTTTGATTCCAAAGGTTGGTTGGAGGGCATTCCAAACCAGATGCAACCAGGCGGTGGATGGACTGGCCACCGGAACTTTTGCCATTCATGAGTCCGAAATGCATACTCACAGGGAGCTATCGAATTAAACCTACAGTATGATCCTCTCATTCCCCAAGAGAACCGTGAGGCAACCGGAAAGCCGATATGATGTCGCTCACCCATCCATCCGCATGCAACAGCAAGTATGCCAGTGAATATTCCGCCCACAGCCTGTTTTATCACACTATATCAGCCCTAAGCATTGATTTAAATCCATATGAGATACACGTACAACGCATCCAATTGCCTGCTGGGGACTTAGCCCGAATGCCAAAAGAGTGCTTCCTATAGTCCATGCTGATATGCATGAACCGGATACCATCCAGTAACCTATCTAACCCATAAGTCCATCCCGTCCATTCTGTCGACAACATAAAACAATAGCATACCAGCATAGCCCCAAACTCCCCAGGTTCGTCTGTCCAGAGGGATTGGAATAAGGTCCCTATTGCACCACACCGTGTTTTCGTATAGCGGGTCTTCATCTATCGGCCTTTCAGCTCAGGTTCATTAGCAGGCAAATCGTCAACTACACAGGTATAGGTTGAATTGTCAAAAGCCACTTACACCGCCAACTTGCGCTTAAAACTGGCCCAGTCGACCATCTTGCCAGTTTACACGGCTGTATATGTAACAAACGGTGGTTTACAAGCAACGAAGCCGTAGACCCGTTGAAGCGGGAGCTAATGTGGAGATGGATATAAAGGAATCTCTGAGGTAATTTCAGCCCCTGTCATGTATTATATCTTCAGATGTATTGTATTAGTCAGGTATTATTAAACCTAGAACTTACTTCAGGCTTGTTCCTCTAGAACCATCTTAAGAAATACAACATCTTCATACGTTATTATAACAAGGGTATTATTAAGCCTAGAACTTACTTCAGGCTTGTTTCTCTAAAACTATCTTAAGAAATATAATATCTTTATATGTTATTATAATAAGTAGTAGTATATCTTATAACCGATAGCTAGCTTCCTTTTCTTCTTACTTAAGCGAGTTCTAGCCTAGGCGAGCTTCTCTATCTTAATTTAAGTAAGTTAATCCCTTTAAATCTACTAGTTTAGTTATTTCTCTCCTTAAATCCTCTTTAGTCCTATTATTTTTATATCTTTTTTTACTTCTTTCTAGTATTATAAATACTCCCTACCTTAATTTTATTCTTCTTTATTTCTTAATAAGTATTATTACTCTTTTCTTTAACTTCTCTTTTTTCTTTACTAGCTATTATCCCTCTATATCTTTTGTCCTATATTTTACTCTTCTAATATATCTCTTCCTTTTTTAACTTATATTAATATCTACCTCTATTATTTTTTATTCTAAACTCTAAATTAGAAAATAATACCTCTACTTTACTTTACCCCTCTTCCTTCTATTAGCCTTATATATTCTATAATATATTTTCTACCTCTCCTCTTTTAACCTCTTTAATTTCTATTATATCCTCTATTATACTTATATTCTGAATATATATATCTCTATAACTTATTTTAAGCTTCTAGAAACTATTCCTATTAAATAAACTTATTTTAGAATAGCTACTTCTATTCTATCTTCTTACTCCCCCTCTACTAATCTTTAATATATAAAGGCGAAGTATTATCTTAATACTACTCTTCTTATATAATATTAAACTAATTTTCTCTAAGATAAATAATTTAAGTTAGCTAATATACTAACTTAGTAAGATTATAGTAGAGTAGAATTAATTATTATTATAGAAAGTAAAGTAAAGAGAAAAGAGCTAATAGAAGCTATATATAAAATACTTAAATAAAATCACCTAGTAATAAGTAAGGTATCTTTTTAAAAATAGATTAAGTAATTTAGAGAAGGACTAACTTAAATAGATAAAGCTTACTTTACTTTTTCTAATTTTTAACTTTTAGAAAAAATTATTCCTTAAACTCCTTTCTAAGGTATAACTCTAAATAATAGAACTTTAATATTCTATAGGAGAACTATAAGTAATTCTAGTTATAATTATTAAACTTAAAATCTAAACTCCCTAAAGCTATATAATATTAATAGTATATCTAAGAGAGATCTATAAAGAAATTATCTACTATCTATTTTTTAATTTCTACCCTCTAAAACTATAATACCTCCCCTAGCTTTTCTACTAATATCCTATTATAATAATATTGGCTTCTATAACTCTGCCCCTTAAACTAATAAACTTCCCTTTTACTCTATAGTATCCTTTAATAACTACTTTTACTACTATAATATAATAACTACTAACCTAAATAATAACTATATAGAGTATAATTAAGGTAACTCTATAAATCTTTTTATCTAATAATAGAGAATATAACTCTATTATATAGATATCTCTAATATATATCGCTCTTTTTATATTTTCTTTAAATAATACTATAAC